AGCACTTAGCATTCCTGTTGTCTTCAGAGACAGCTTACCTGCTACTGTCTCCATCAGCATCCAGACGGGTCACCAAAATACTTTTATGTACCACTATTTTCTCATACTCACAATTTTTTTTTGTTTTTTCCCCACAAAGAAAATGGTTTTCCTTCTTTTCTATTGCACCAAAATGAAACCCAAGGCCCCACCGCCTCACTCTGTGGGGAGGGGTTTGGCATATGCTTGCCATGGTGTTCAGCTGGAGGTCAGAAGACATTACTGGCCATCAGTCCTTACGGTCCACCTTGCTTGAGACAGGATCTTGTTCATTGCTGCTTGCACCAGGCTAGCAGCCTGTTCTCCCAGGGATACCTCGTCTTTGTCTCTGATCTTGCTTTAGGAGTACTGTCATTATGGTGGCTTGTGCCGACTCTGGGGGAAGTCAGGTTCTCACACTCATGCTGCAGGAGCTTCATTCAGGCCATCTCCCCATCCTAAGGAAATACTGAAATAAGATGCCTCTGGATAAAGACAGAAAAGCTTTATGTGAGGGAAGCATTAAAGGCACTGAAATTCCAAATAGCACCCCTCTCTGTTGTGATTTATTGTATTCTCTAGCATTCAGCCTTGGTATACTCTGCCATTGTACCTCTTGCTGAATGACTTTTGGAAGCAAACTGTGGAAACCATAGTCCAAATCCATGCCTGTTTCTAGCTCTCTCGGCTGTTCTGTTTTACACAGAGCACACAGCTTTGTAGAAAAGAAGTTTTCCCACAATGGCGGATAAGTTAAATTTGGGGGAGTCTAATCACTGTTCCCCCCAAGGGCTCAGCTTGAGCTCCTGGGAATTGGCTCAGTCCCTGGACATCATGCATTCCTACCACACAAAAATCCCAGTTCTCCTGTGAGATGGCTAAAGGCTCAATTAGCATCCAGACAAGTCCCCAAAACATTTCTCTGCATCATGATTCTTTTCTGACTGCTGCAAACTTAGCATTGCCCTTTTCTGATTCAGTGAATCCTGGATAATGATGTTCTTTATTTTATTACATTTTCCAAAGCAAAGACCAGACAAGACTTGGTTCCAGCCATGAACTACAATAGTACAAAAAAGAATTATTTCCACATTAAATCAAGCACATTTAGGGACTCATGATTTATAATAACCTTATGTATGAGCGTTTGTGTGTGTGTGTGTGTGTGTGTGTGTGTGTGTGTGTGAGAGAGAGAGAGAGAGAGAGAGAGAGAGAGAGAGAGAGAGAGAGAGAGAGAAAATGTATGTGAGAGTATATAAGTGAGTGTGTGTGGGAGAGTGTGTGCATGTGTTTTAGAGTGTGTATGTGAGTGTGAGAGAGTGAGTGTATGTGTGAGAGAGTGTACATGTGAGTGTGTGAGATAATGTGTGTGTGAGAAAGAATGCGTGGGTGTGTGAGAGGGAGTGTGTGTGTGAGAGAGAGTGTGTGTCTAACCTCAGGTGTCAGTCCTCGGTGTTCTCCTTGTCTGAGACAGAGTCTCTTTGCTGTTTTGTTCGTTGCATTCATGAGGCTGGTTGGCCATGGAATTTCTGGGAATTCTGTTTCTGCCATCTCTGCAGAGGAGAGCTGGGGTTATAGATGCTGACACAACACGCCTAGCTTTTCCTTGGTGTTTGAGTCCTCAGACTCAGGTCCTCAGCCTTGCGAGGGTAGTACTTTACCACTGAGATATCTCTGTAGCCCTGTATGGCTTATGCATACTTTCATTTTATGATTTTTCAGTCTTCTAGGAAATTCTAAAATATACCGTTCAGAAAGTGAAAGCCATTTTTGTTTGTCATTTTTTTTTTTTTTATTCAAAGCAAATGAAAGCCTGCTCTTGTGAGCATTTAAGAAGCGGCATTAAAGATGCTTTATCTGGTAGGAAATCCACACCATATGCTTCCTGGTGCCTGGAGATTGTCTTTGCAGAATACACTCGACTCCTTTTCCTGCCCCTGTGGTTTCCCTGCCTCAGGGCAGCAGATTTGTTTGCTTGTTTGTTGTTTTGTTTTTCTTGGGTTACTTTTACTATTGGGCTTCTAAATTTTATTTTCCTAAGAAAAAAGTCCCAAGAAGGCCCTCTCTACCTTTTCTATGAAGCATGTACAGGCTCACGGGACATGACACATTTAACATAAAGAGTAGGGGAAGACAGGCTTCTTTTAAAGTGGCAGTGTGTTTCTTCCCTTCCACACTGAAAACAATATAACTCATTGTGTTCCCTCTTTCCCACATGGCCAGGAAGCTCAGAATTACATTTAATGTGCAGTTACAGTAACTATTTAAAAACTCCCTTTTTATATGCTTTTTGATTTTCTGTTTTAACAGCCTTATTGTTTATGAATGCTTTATGGAAACCTACCTAAAATATTTTCTGGAAGAGGCTTGTTCTGTGCAGGAGGGGGCTGAGGGCACTGCCTCTAATTACGTTGGAATGTGTAGGTGATTTTCAGATGAGAATCCCTGAGACAATCACCAGTCCTTACGCTGCTTGGAGGAATTGTCTCCATGTATTCACTGTGTTCTTGTGCCTAGAAACGGCCGAGGAAGTGGGAAGTCATTTAGAATTTGTCTGCTTGATGAAGATTTAAGTTTTTCTTGGACTCTGCACTGAACTTGCTCCCTGAGTGCGGACACCAGAACAGAAAAGCCACACCCCCGCCTTTCCTGGGTCTTAAGAGTTTCGTAAATGACGGCCCAAGTCTAAGAGCATTCCTTGGCCCTGGGCAGCAGCCAGTGTGGGTCCTGGTCTTGACATGAGTACTTCTAGGCATGAGAAAGTGAGTAAAGTGCTTATTTAGGTCCCCCCATCAAGAGGTGCAGGCTCCCGCCGGCTTCGGGGCAAGTATAGAAAGACTCCTTCGAGTTGGACTTTCTGATATTCTTACTAGTCGTCTCTTATCTGATGCTGCCAGTTTAGAAGAGGGGGAAAGTTCTGTTAAAGAAAGCCAACTAAATCATTCCAACGCCTGCCAAATAAACATTTGTATCTCCACCATTGTTAGAAGCCTGGGAATGGGGAGGGAGGAGTTGAAGACAAATTTAAATTAGCCCAGTTTGCCCCGTCCATCATTTGCCTGGGTTAGTGCTTGTATTGGTGGGGCTCTTAAACACCTCAAATTATGCAATAATTTGTGCAAAAATAAGTAATAGTTTCATAAAAGCTCTTAAGAATGATGGCTAGGAGCTAATGCTGAACCCCAAAACTTGTAAAAATACAGGCAGTGAATCTTTTTTTTTTTTTTTTAAATAAAAAAAGACTGGGCCTGGGAAACAATTAAGAAGGTCGCAGGGGAATTTGTGGAATGGGTAACAATCAGAAAGCTTCAAGGGAAAAAGAAATAGCTCACATTTAATATGACTGAGAGAACATTCTGGAAATTTAATAAACTGAAACCCCGGTAATAAATACAATGGTTGAATTCCACTCATTCTTGCTCCATGGCAGAGTGGCCCTTATCTCTGAACATACACCAAAACACACACACAGAGTCCTGATGCCTATCTGCCAGCCCTGCGGCGGCGGGGGAGTGAGGGAAGGAAGACGTCTCTCGAGAGGCTTATCTATTACCACTTGTGCTTTTGACCAAAATCTGTCTTCTTTTACTTCTGTCTAAACAGGACATCAGAGAGCCTGGCTTTTCAGATGCCAGAAGCTGCTGATGCTCGCCATGAACATGTAAGTGAAATAAAAAATGAAGCAAGCCATTTGAAAACGAGCTCCCGAATGTACCCTTCTGCTCAGCCATCCCTAAATAACAGACTTAGTAATCCGAAGTAACTCGCCAGAGGTCTGAGGATTGTTTTTGAGAAGCTTAATTATATACTGTCACTTACATGTGTGTATTCGTGTGTGGTGTATATGAACATATCTGTGCATATGTGGTATATACATATATGTATGTGTGTACATGCATGCACATATGTGTATCATGTATGCATGTGTGATGTATATTTTGTGTATATATGTGTATATGTATATATAGTGACATATGCCCATGTGTATATGTATGTGTACATATGTTTGTTGTATATGTGTATGTGATATATGTGCGTGTATATTGTATATATGTTAATGTATGTGCTGTGGTATATATTCATGTGTGGTATATGTGTGTGTGATATTATGCAGATGTGTGTATACCTGTGTGTGAATGTGTATCTGTATATTTGTATATGGTATATACACATGTGTATATGTGTGTATAGTGTGTGCACATGTATGTGTGTATACTGTATGCACATGTGTATATGTGTGTATAGTGTGTACACATGTGTGTATGCTTTGCAGTCAGAGGAAGACATAAGGTATCCTACTTTATTAGTACCTTATTCCCTTGAGAGTGGGTCTGTCACTGAGCCTGGAGCTGAGTTGGCAAGTTGGCAGTCAGCAAATGACAGTGACCATCCTGTCTTCCTACTCTGCCTCCAGCCCTGGAGTTACAGAAGTGCGCAGGATCAGGTCCAGTTTTTTATATGGACTCTGGTCATTTGAACCCAGGACCGCATGCTGTGTGGCAAGCGTTCATTTCCACTGGGCTATCTTTTGGTCCTATAGGGTTTTTTTTTGTTTGTTTGTTTTTGTTTTTTTAAGCAAGATCATCTGGTCCATAGTAAAAAATGATTTAAAGAAGTAAGCAAAGGAACTTTCAAACATGACTATATATTCTTAGTAGAAAAATAATCAATGGACATCAAGAATTCTCCTACTTGAAAACGGCCTGGCAGCGCACATCTGTAATGGCAGCACTATGGAGGTTGAGGCAGGAGGATTGGGAATTCAAGGTCGTTCTCAACCACTTTGTGAGTTCAAATCAGACTAAACTACTTGAGACCCTACCTCCAGACGGCCCTCATGAACAACAACGAAGAGCAGTTAAGCGTCCACTTCTTTTCCAGAAGTTGCTGGGATGGAATGCCTACAAGTGACTCCTCTGAAACTATCTTCGAGAGATCAGAGATCTCAGCTCTAGGCCACACTCATCCTGCATCCTGAAGAAGATGGACTCCGGTACTCGAAGCACTTTTAAAACTTGAATTATCAGTTACATCATTTTAAATGATTCTTATTTTCTAAAGACAATGGTCACATAATTTGGGATTAATGTCTAAGATCCTGGCTGTGGACTCAATTTCCTGAAGTATATGAAGACCTGCAGCCAGGAGGAGTCAGAGATGGGCAACAGAGCTTGATCCATTGAGCTCTTGACTAATGCAGGCCCTGGGGAAACCCCATGGAGACACCAGGGGCGAATTTAGAGACCAGGGCTGTCTAGGACATTGCAGAACGCAAAGAAATGGAACAGAAAACTGTCCATCTTGTCCTGAGTGAAGAAACCACAAGCAAGACCTCCTCACTGTAAACTGTGTGGTTGTTTTCTGCAAAGAGACTTTTCCTATTTTGTTTCCTTCTAGGGAGTTCTCTTTCTGTTTCCTCCTCCTTAGACACCAGTACAGTGACGTAAGACCCTGGCCAGCGGAAAGCAGACAGAACCACACTGAGGCATGCCCTGTGCTGGGGTTCCAGTTAAATTAATTTAACTTGGTCAATTAGATTGTAAAGTCTCCTGAGGGTAGAGATAATTTCTTAAATTATAATTTTTGTCTCTTACAATGTTTCTATGCTTAAAATATAGTACAGACCGTATTAAAAACCTAACCACTTAAAAATATGCATCTGAATATAGTATGTCATTAGAGTGTACCTTCCTTTTCGGCTTCTTTTGAGAGTTTGTTATCCAAGTTACAATGCAGTTTTTAAAATTTGAAAAAAAACAAATGTATAGGGAAAAATATGCTAGGTTTGGTAAAATATTTATTTTTCTTATATGTAGCAATTAAAACCTCTGGATATATTGTGTGATTCGATTGACTATTTATTGGGACATGTGACAGTTTGGATATGAATTATCCAAACATTAGAAGGCTCCTGTGTTGAAGGTTTGGTCCCCAGGTCCTCCATCTCATCACTGAATGATGGTTGAATCATGAGGACTCTACCTGCTAAGTTTTGGATGGGGCTGATGGGTCAAAGAGACGCTGAGCCAGATGGGAAACAAGGAGTCTATTAGAAAGGCTATTGATGCCATGGGCAGACAGACAGAGGAGCATGGTGGGGATTCCCAGGAAGGCTAAGGTCCCAGAAACAGGGCCAGACAGCAGAAAGACAGCATGAGGGACAGTGTGGTGGGATCTCTGAAGAGAATCAGAGCCCACACGCAGGAGAAAGGGGCCCCTTATGTTTTTTGAAGATGGGGGAGGTCCACAGCAAGAGCCCACAGCCAGGTTCTGATTCTCAGGCAGGAAGCAGGGAAGGGATGAAAGGCAGGGTGTGCCATAGGCCCTTTGATGTTAACTCAGTTCCTAGGTAAGACTGTGGTGTGTGTGTGTGTGTGTGTGTTAGCTAGAGCCTCACAGACAGTGTGTCAGTAGGGTGTCTGTCGGTATCGGTGAAAGGGGAAGATTGCTGCAGATGCTGTGGCCTGGCAGAGGCTGGATTCTACCATTACATTTTTACATGAACTTCATGAATGGGTTAGTTCATTCATGCAATCATTACTAAGTAGGCCATTACGAGTGGGGATGTAACTGAAGGAAGTAGCTCACCGGGGGCATGCTTTTGAAGGTTACGACTGTCCCAGGCTCTCCCTGTAACTCAGATCTGTTTCCTGGCTGCCATTTCCTCCCAAGAAGTAGCTGCCACTACGAGATGGACAGCTCTGGTCTAATCAGCCACTCTCTGCTGTGATGCTCTCCACCTTGTCTCAGATCAAAGCAACGGTGCTGGTCGCCCTTCGGCTGACATCAGAAGCCCACATTCCCCTCCCTGAAGTTCTGCGTGTCGTAGTCAGTGATGCAGAGCTGAGCGTCTCGGGGCTCACACAAACATTCCTTCCCTGGTTAGATTGTCTTGGAGACCTCATGCTACAGCCTCTGTACCAGCAAAATAGGCACAAGGCGAAGTCATTCCTTCAAGGGGCTCACAAGTTAGCCGCTGTAGGGGGGGCTCTCACGGACAGCTGCAGACCTTCCTGCCAGGGAGGTGTGTCCTAGTGCCAGGACAAGAGCTAGTTTCTGTGTAACAGCTCGATTCGCATCGCCCCTCTACAGTGGACGTTTTCAGTGGTCCATCCTGACTTCCAGACGCAAACCTCCAGGTGGCCTCTTGACTTCTCCACCTGGTTTCGGTACCTGGAACTCAACTCCCTAGTTCCTTCCCAAGATTCCCACCTCCCGTTTGCCTTTCTCTTTAAGTAGCGACTGCTTTTCTAACAGCCCAAGCCTTTTACACCCGTGCCTTTCCTTCTTCTTCCTTCACAGCCTTCCCCAAATGTGACAGCTTTGGCCTTTCCACGGCAGCCATACACGCTTCTTCCTGGCCTCCCACAGTAGACCCCCGTGTCCCTGTACCCCTCCCGCCCTTCCCCCAACTGTCATGTCTTCAGACACAACTGGAGTGACCTTTTGGAACCCAGGTCATCTCAGCTATCTTGTTCAAATGACGTTTTATTCTTGTTTGTGACTGAAGGACATTCCCTTGTGTAGATACGGGTGCCGTATTTTCTTACTCATTTCTCTAATGACAGATGCCTTCAGGCACAGGGAGACATGTGGGGTATTTTCTGTCTTATTTGTGGGAACAAGAAAGCTGATCTCATAGAAGGAAGAAGTAACTTCATAGTCACCAGGGACTGGGAAGGACAGCTATGGGGGAGTGGAGGATAACATGGTTAGATGGAGGCAGCAGATCTGGTTACCCTAGTTTAACTATCAGTTGTAATGATTTATGTTATAGTTCAGGATCATTAGAAGGGATGGACGTTCCAAATACAGAAATGATGAACACAGAGAGAGGGTAATCCGTATTGCTCTCATGGGATACTTACACACTGCACACACACACACACTGACTACACTGTACATACAACCGTGCCACAGTAAAAAACAGGGAATGAATTGACCAGTCAATGAGTGCGTCAGATTGTGACTCATCCACTCCAGTGGCTTCAGATTAAACACAAGAGCTAGCATCCTTTCAACAACCTCCAAGTTCCTGTGCTTCTTTTCACCTCCTTCCGCTGGGTGCCTAACACACCCCTATTTTTCCCACTTGTTTTTCTTGGTCCTCAGAAACAGGAAGCCCAAGCTGACCTTAGAGGTCATTACTTTGGCTGTTCCCTTTGTCTAGAATGTTCCTTCTCAGGATTTACCCACATGGCTCACTCCCTCTCTTTCCTCCAATTCTGCTTAAAGGTTACCCCACCAGTCCCAACCTAGCCTGACCAACTTGTGTAAACAGTAGGCCTATCCCTGCCAGCTGTGCCCAGCCACCCCATTCTGGTTATTCTCTGCCATGGAGCTCACAGACTGGCATACAGTACGATTACTTCTTTGTTTGCCTGTTGCCGGACTTCTCCATTCTTTCCCAGCTCCAACGGCTGAGTGAGGCAGAGTCCCTGTTTGTACAGTCTTGTGGTTCCTCCTCCAACCAGTGACGACTACAATCTTCTTCACACAAGTACTGGGGCTGGTATGAAGTCAAAACCAATGTCTCATTCAGGCTGACTCTGCTCATGTTGTCTTGAGACACAGTCTCACTACGTGGGTCAGGCTGGCCTCAAGCTTTTGCTCATCCTGCCTCTACCTCCCCCATGCTGGGATGCAGGTGTGCACCCAATACAACCTGATACAGATGCTCTTTTTATTATTATTATTATTATTATTAAGTTCATGAAGTGAGTTTGTTTTCTTTTGCTTCTTTTGTATCAAAATGGAATTTTGAATTAGGGTCATTTGAGGGAATCAATTTCTAAGACTTTATTGTGATAAAAATCTCAGGCTGGGGAGTTGGCTCAGTACATAAAATGCTTCCTACAAAAGCGTGAGGACCTGGGTTCCCATCCCTAGAACTCACATAAAGCCAAGTTTGGCTGCCCGAGTCTGTAATCCCAGTGCAGACAAGATAAGGGATGGAGACAGAGCTGCTTCTGATTGGGATTCTATGGATAATGACTAGGTTCTGACACAAAAGACCGAGAGAGGGAAGCCAATATTGGTTTTACTAGGAATTAATATAATATTAAAGAATTAGGTTTTTCCTGCACACGAGTTAGCTTCCAAGTACCAAACCCCAGGCCCTGAGAACATAAGCTACCCCATTATAGACAATGCTAACCATGGTGGGCCACCACATTTGGGAATCTGCCCTCGTGAGGCACCCACGGGGACAATGTGTAATGCCTACCTTTCTTCAGACAACTTTCACTTTCAAGGGCAAGCTGTGGGCTATATATTATACCCGTGTTATCACACATTCAGCAATAAGTGTATTGCTGAATAATAAATTCGGCCGCAGCTCCCACCGTACAGAGATAGGACTGTCAGAGTAGGGTGGTAGGAGACAGCTCCCCAAGACTTCTTATGATAACCCCGAAAGGAGCAAGAACATTAGCGTGCAGAGCAGTCTCAGGGCAGTTTGACTCTAGAGAGAACTTTGACATCCAATTACAGGCAACCAAGCAATCTTCCTTTCCCACTCACTACTCACCGAGTGTGTTTTCTAGGGCAGGCACATAAGTATAGGGAGTACAACAACCCCACCTTGTGTGCACAAGCATATAATTACAAAAATCAGTCAATGCCACCCGGAAAGATAGGGGACACCAGCAGGGTTCAGCAGGAAATTTGCTCCGGGCAAAAATTCTAGGAATTCTTTCCCGAGAACTTTCTCCAGAAGCTTAACTCTAAAGGCTCCTTGAGAAACAGAATAACAACAAAGCAGAAGGAACGGAACGGTGTTCGCAGAGACCCAGGGAACAGTGCCGTGCGGTGGGGAATGTTACAATAGGTAAAGAGGTGGACGAAGGCTCTAGAGCCGTAGACAGAGGGAGCTTCTGCGAGACTTTGCAGCGAGTGTGGAGGGCTTTGATCTTCAACCTGAGAGCAGAGACAACATTAAGCAAAGAGTGACACATGCAGAGTTTCACTCTCAATGGCCGTGGCCAGTGTCCAATTTATACCTCCAAGAGGTCTGTCAATGAGCAGCTGCAGTTTAAGGTCCTACTCCACAGAGGAGGGATGGCAGACAGAAACACTTTTGGATATATTCAGCCAGCATCAGCTTTTTAGATACTGTTTTTAAGATTCTATATTAGCGGTGAATGGTTTTTTTTTAAAGCCTCACTTGGGTGCCAAACTCAACTAGAGGAGCTGTCCCTGAAATATGTCACAAGAGACAACTTTGCATAACTCTCAGAACTTAAAAAAAAATGTTCCCTCAGATTTGATGCATGTTTCAGGTTGTGACAGACTAAGTTTAAATGTGCATTTTTAAGAAAGCTATTACCTTTAGAAAAATTAAATATGGTGTGATGGTGGGACCTAATTGTACACATGACACAATTTAGAAGCCCCTAGAAAGAGAGTCTCAATGAGGGGTTGTCTCCATTGGGTTGGCCTGTAGGTAAATCTTTTGGGGTTGTCTTGATTAATTGAAGTGGGAAGACTTGCCCATTGTGGGCAGCACCATCCCCTAGGTTTGGGTCCTAGACTGTGTTAGAGTGGATAAAGAGGACTGATCACCAATAAGCATGCATGCATTCATTCATTTTTCTCTACTCTTGACTCTGGATGTGATGTGATTAGCTACTTTGTGTTTCTGTCTTGACTTTCCCACTGTGATGGACTGTAACCTGGAACTGTAAGTCTTGCTTTTCTGGATTGCGTTTTGGAAGACTATTTTATCACAGCCACAGAAATGAAAGTAAGATGGATGGTTTACACAAATTGTAGGACTAAAGCACCACGTACAAGCATGTGCCAAGAGAGAACAAAGGAGCAGGTTAAGTCCTGCTAGTGGATTCAAGACCCAGCCAGTAGCCAGTGCCAGCCCTGGTGCTGCAAGGGTGGGGCATAGATAGCTCATTGCCAAGATCTGATGCTGAGCCGTGACCTTGTCCTGGCATCCCTGGAGCCTTTGACTACAAAATGTACCTCTGGCAATGGAAAGTGCTGAAGTGATGGCATTGGAAAACCACATGGAAAGAATACTGATTTCAACCTGTCCAAATTAACAGTGGGCCTACTTCAGGCAATAATTGAGCTACTTGAAAGACCACTCTAGGCTCAATATCATAAATGTATTATTAGCACATGGAGAGACATTCTTATTTCTTTGCTAGGTGGCCATGCATCCAGTAAGCATTTCAAAAGATGGATGTGAGAATAATAAGAAATCAGAATGCAAGTCTTTTACACTCATTGCCTATTCTTTCTGTAGAGTTACTAAAAACTTTGGGGAGTCTTATTTGTGGTACCACATGTTACTGAGGAAGTTGGGGACCTCTTTCAGGGTCCCTAGTCTTATTAATAGAGTAATTCAAGAACAGGCTTAGAAGGAAGCTTGAGGACAATTTTGTTAGAGATTAGGGGAAAACTCCCAGAACAGGAAAGCTGTAAATTATTTAATTAAGGGGATAATTATTTGTCTTATCTCTTTAGCATGGCCTGAGGAGAATCAGCCTTCCTTCCTGGTGGTCCCTTGACTAGATGATTGACAGGCCCAACTGGATTAAGTCTTGAGAGAGGAGACAATGACATCTCTTCACACAGAGGTAGGTACCATTCTTTTGACCATAAGGAAATAGCTTTCCATTAATGGGACTTCCATGCTACGAGTCATATAACTTAATGCATTGGGTTTAGAACTTGGTTAGTTAGAGTAAGGCCCACACAATCACAGCCAGGCAACAAAAGAATAGAGAAAGACCATGGCTTGCAATAGGTAAGGAAGGCAATGAGGTCATTGAAATAGAATTTTAAAGCAGTGTTCTCCTCAAGGTAGTCATGGAGATTTGACTTGGGGAGCCTGTCTACATTCACATGAGGAAGCACTTCTGACCTAGACCCATTCCCAAACATGCTCAATTCAAGATGCACCCTACTGAGAATGCCAAGTGTGAAGTCCTGGTTCAAGAGAAACAGATGGCAGCTAGAACACTTGGGAACAAATTTAGCTTGCAGTGTAAATAGGATTGGCAGAATCCTGTAATCCTCAGATTTGGGAGGCTAAGGCAGGAGGATGGCAAGTTTGAGACTAGCCTGCGAATCACATCAAGCTCCTGTCTAAAGAAACCAGCCAGGCGGTGGTGGCACACGCCTTTAATCCCAGCACTCAGGAGGCAGAGCCAGGAGGATCTCTGTGAGTTCGAGGCCAGCCTGGGCTACCAAGTGAGTTCCAGGAAAGGTGCAAAACTACACAGAGAAACCCTGTCTTAAAAAATCAAAAAGAAAAAAAGAAGAAGAAGAAGAAGAAACTGGGGTGGAGTATAGATAAGTTGTAGCACTCTTGTTTCTAGCACATGCAGACCCTGGCACTTGATCACCAGGGAGGGCTTATGTACAATCAGAGCAGCAGTTGGATTGAAGACGTGTTAATATGAGTTTATCCATAAGGGTATCTGCCTCACTCAGCTACTAAAAGTCTAATCCAACTGATTTTGATCCTTGAAGTAGAACGAAAGCAAAGGTCTACCAAGGACTTTCACATTGATCTTGTACTCAAAGAACTGCACATAAACTCACAGAATCTCTAGGAATAAAAGGCTAGCTAGTAGTGAATGAGAAGCACAAATGATCTCAATGTGAGGACAGATTCATTCACGAAAACACAATTAAATGGTAGTTCTTTGGGAATTTTTAATGCTCCCTGAGCAAGGACTTCACCCAGCTTTATAGAAATATAAAGGGAAAAAATGCCCTTGTAAAAAGAAGAAAACAATCTGGGCGGTGGTGGCGCATGCCTTTAATCCCAGCACTCTGGAGGCAGAGCCAGGCAGATCTCTGTGAGTTTGAGGCCATCCTGGTCTACAGAGCGAGATCCAGGACAGGCACCAAAACTATACGGAGAAACCCTGTCTCAAAAAACAAAACAAAACAAAACAAAACAAAACAAAAAAAAAACAAACATAAAACAAAAACAAAAAACAAAAACAGTCAACAATCTGTACTCATGTTAATCATTCACCATCCTTCCCAGCCTTCCACCTGTAGTGGTATAAGAATGCTTATGCCTATTCCCCCAAATCACTGGTTGTATAGGCAGATAGGCTGAAACCTAGAGCTAAGAACATGTCTGAAGACATTATTCTGAAGGGAGGCATCCGTTGGCATCTTTTGTGTCCTCTGTTCTTGGCTAGCTACTAAATTTATATATCAAATAGAAGATGAATCACAAGTCATCTGTAGGCTTTTATGGTTTACTCACCTGTGTTATAACAGAGGCATGAATACACACAGACTCTTGGGTAAGTACACTAAGCTCTACCCTGTATCTGAGAGAACTTTTCATTTTGTTTTCCCTATTTTATCTTGGAGCTCTGGGCTACCCAAATTTCACTGAACCATCATATTACCTCAAGAAAGGGATTTTTCTATTCATAGGTAATTACTCAGCATGGTGTTAATCAAAAATTACATGCATTTTTTAAGAGCCAGATCTGTCTTAATTTTTTTCCTCTAAGAATCAAAAAATATTGTCTTAGTTAGGGATCCTATTGCTGTGATAAAGCACGTGACCGAAAGCAACTTGGGGAAGAAAGGATTTATTTCAGCTTACATGTCCCAATCACAATTCTTCATGAAAAAAAGTCAGAGCATCAACTCAAGTCAGGAGCCTGAGGCAGGAACTGAATAAAGCCAATCCTGTGAGGGATGCTGCTTACTGGCTTGCTCCCTGGGGCTTGCTCTTCTTGCTTTGTTATAGCATCCACTACCACCAGCTCAAGGGTGGCGGCTCCCACAGGGAACTGAGCCCCCCCTCCTTAATCAAGAAAATACCCCACAGGTTTGCCCCCAGGAGGAGGCATTTTCTCAGCTGAGGTTTCTTCTTTGAAGATGACTCTAGCTTATGTCAAGCTGACTAAAACTAGCCAGCATAAACCCTAGTATTTGTTTATTTTCATTGTAAAAGACTTTGCTTGTTTTCTCTTCTGATTTGTTTTCTGTTTTTTTTTTTTTTCCTCTTCAAAATCATTTCTGAACATAGATGTGGGTTTCTAGTTGAGCCTGGATTCTGAGTGGTTCTCTGTTGCCAGATTCTTTTCATAGTGTTTGTTATTATATGAAGTCCCGCGGACTAAGGTGTTCATTTGCAGGTTTCTGCCCTTCTCTTGACCATCAGTGTTAATCACTACAATAACCAACACCTGAGGGCTAATGTGACACTGACTCCTGGCAGTGCATAAGGAATAAGCTTAGTGGAGCAAGACACAGATAACTGCAGAGCTACCTCTGTGCAAATGTGAACAGACCTCGGTGCGTGCACCTGGCCCCTTGCCCTGGACCTGCCCATCCTGCAGTTGAAGGCAGCTCTCTCTTCACCTAGTACTCATTTGTTTTGCTTTGTGGTTCTGCTGTTGAGTCAACTTCTGGAGGCACAATGCCAAGGTTGGATAGCAGGATAGTAGTGAATTCCAAGGAAACACTGGGGTTATCACAAGCTACAGCAGCCTACACCACATTGCCAACTTCAATAGAGTTTGACCTCACGCTGAACTTACTCTTGCCAGGCTGCTGAGAACTGAGCCAGCAGCTGTAATGAGCACAGGCATTCATCGCCCAGACCCAGGGCTCTGCAAAAGCCCTTCCCCTTCCTTGCTTGTGTGTGGACAGAACGGTCTAGTCCCTTGAGTTCACCAGAGAGGCCAGCTTGCGTTATTTTACACCAGCAACCCCCAGAACCTCCTGAACGCTATACTTAACAAAAACTGATTACTTTCCTTTGTGGGTGGGGTTCCAGGACCCTTTGGCTTAGGGCAGAGAGGGGGAATAGATCCAATTGCTTAGTGACTAGTGGGAATCTAATGCTTCCTTTCCCCTTATGTGGGAAAAAAAAATGCACGTTTAAGTTTGAGATCTGATACTGTAAAAATGATACGACCCTAATTAACTGTGTGCCAGGTACTGCCCAAAGCACATTACACATAATAACACATGCAGAGTCATTAACTCATTGCTATGGCTTGAATCTAAAGTGCTCCCCATGGGCTTGTGTTTTAAATGCTTGGTCCTCAGCTAGTGGCACTGTTTTAAGAGACTGTGAAGACTTTAGGAGGGGGCCTGGCTGATGGACGCCGATCAAGATTATATTCTCCCCTGATTCCAGTTGTTCTTTCCCTACTGATCTGTCACCACATGAAAGAATCTCAGCCACACACTTCATGACACCATGACCATTGCCATGTCTTCTCCACTGTGGTGGGCTGCATTCATATGAAACCGTGAACCACAATTCTTTCCTTCCCTAAGTTGGTTCTCTGAGGCAAAAGGAATGTACACAGTTAATTTAAAATAACCAAGTAGGGCCTCTTCATAAGGATACACTATGGGAAGCTCCTTTCACAGCTGAGAAAATTCAGTCACAGTTAAGGTGAGCTATGTGCTTGGCTTCCCAGGAGTAGAAGCAGGAACTGATTCCAAGAGAGTTAAACATGAGTGTGTAGCTTTGCTTTCATCCTTTACACCAGTGGTTCTCAACCTTCCTAGTGCTGTGACCCTTTAATACAGTTCCTCATGGTGTGGTGACTCTCAATCATGTATTTTCGTTGCTACTTCATAACTCTAATTTTGCTACTACTAAGAATTATAATGTAAATATTTTTAGAGATACAATTTGCCAAAGGGGTCTCAACCCACAGATTGAGAACTGATGCTTTATACACATATGGTGCACTCTGAAAGGAACTGGAGGCATAGTACTGGAGAGAACTGGAGTCAGCATACTGAAAGGACCTGGGACCAGAGTATTGGAGGGAACTTGGGCCAGAGTACTGGAGGGAACTGGGGTCAGGGTACTGAGGGAACTGGGGCTGGAGTACTGGGTGAAGCATAGAGTCCAAAGAAATGTCAAGAGAATATCAGAAGGTGTTACAAGGTGAGAGGTTCTTACAGGGTTCAGAGGAGAGAGTTTGAAAATTTGGGTCCCTTCTGTAACTCCATCCAATTTTCATCCCCAGCCTAAGGATGAAATCAGATTGTAAAGGAATGTCCATTCAGTCTTGAATGTAATCATGTTGATCTCTTGGTGGTTGTTGGTCTCAGTCACTTAGAGAAAATAGCCTTTTCAGCGGGAAGTGTACCTCACTCTTTCTGGTAGTCTCTTGGCCAGGCAAGGACCTCCAGCTTCCCCATGGTCACCTAGCCTCCTGGTCACAATGCTACCCTTCTGGGATGTCCAGAAGCTGGGAAGTTCAGCTGGTTTGCACCTCTCACACTCCACAGGAGAAGCTAATCAGATGACTTTGATCTAGTAGAGGGTCCAGTTAGCTCCCAACATCCATCATAGGTTCCATTTTCACGGAAGTTTTTGTTTGGAAGAACATAAACTATATCCTATGTCTTTGAAGACTGAAATCATGCACGATATACACAAATGTACTAAGCACATTTTAAGAAACCAACCCCTCACTAAATAACTCAGCTGAGTGCCAGTAGCAGGACATGATGGTACAGAGATGCTAGAATGAACCCCAGCATCGCTGGGCCACACAACTTTAGGTACCCCTACTTGACAGGGCCCTAAAACAGAACTTCTCCACCCCAAGATGTATGCAAGAAACCTTGTGGAAATGTCATTTCAGACTCCAAGGGTCTGAGGTGAAGCCTGAGGGCCTGAATCCCTAACAAGCAACGTGATGCTACAGGTCGGAGAATAGAGTGGTTTTAAGTTTCTTCACTGAGAGCTTTCTCATTTCTTAGAAAATCTTTCTTATTGGATTGTTTTTCTGACTAAATATGAGTACCTCTACCTCAAGAGATCTCCCTGCTTTTGAGCATAAGCTCAATAAAACTTCGTTCAGGGGCTCCTGGGGTGGTCACCTCATGTGTGTGCATGTGGGTTACAGAATCATCCCAAAGGAGGGTGAAACAGACAGCCATTCTGTTAAAATAGGAACAACTATTAGAACAAAGACCTCAAGCGTTTTAAGGGGCATCACCTCACCTCACTTGACCCTAACTGGGCAGAAAATGTGAGGGCAGCACCGCAGGGGAGTGGACCTCAAGGCTTTGGGCCTCAAGGCTTTGGCTCACCCGACCTCCATCACATCTTCATTCGAGCGCCCACAGGGCTTGCCGTCACCGTGAGTTACCGTAGTTTCCCTAACCATAAACCAAGTGGGAACATCATGAGTGAAAGAACATGGGTGGCAGACATGGCAGGGTGCAGAGATGAGACTTTCACACGGGCCGTGGTCCCTGTTACAGGCCCTGGGGAGGCCCCAGCAAGGAACCCTGCCAGCACCAACTGCGACTGAGGAGAACGTGACTCGTGAAGGTAGCAGAGAATGAACTGTAAGCTTACTGGCTGAAATCCCACTTAGGGTTGCTCTGTGGGCATCTCCTCCTCTATGATAGGTGTGTGTAAGTCCACAGACCATGGACAGGTAAGATGGCTTAGTGGGTAAAGATCCTTACTACAAAGGACTAGCAATCAGAGTTGGATCCCCAGAACCCATGTAAAGGTGGAGAACAAATTACTCCCAAAGCTATCCTCAGACCTCTGCATAAGCATCACCCACAGGCACACTTACACAAAAATACACAAATAAACAATAAACAAGCAAATACATACAAATTAAAAATAAAACAAAGTGGCAGACACCCTGATGCAGGCTGTGTTCTTTAATATCCACTAACCGGCGGACTGTTTTACACGTAGGAGAAACATTTAAAAGACACTTACAATTGGGATGTGAAGGAGAATGAGACTAAAGCCAGATTTCTCTGCTCAGATTGAGCGACTCCCTGCTGCGTGGAAAATGTTTCCTCCTTCACTCCTATTTTTCTGCCTTGGTATGAGTGAATTTGCCTCAGAGGGATGGGGTTACAACGGTGAGCCAAGATTTATGCATCTACTCCATGCCTTCACCAGCAGCCGAGGGACAAGATGATGGCATTTTCATTCACTTGCCTATGCAGCCAACAACGTCACATGGATAGAAGTGAAAAAGGCAGTACCCTAAAAAGTGTTCTGCCCCCAAGTGCATTCCAAATGATCCTGAGCTGAAAAGTCTCCACTGTGAAGCAAGGCCACAACTTCTCTGTCTTCCAAGGCAACGCTCAGTCCACATTTGTGGTTACAGATAATTGTGGAAACATTTGGATTATAGGAAGGTGATATAAGGGATTCTTCCTGCAGGATCTATTCAACCAGCATTAGTGATTGTTTCCTGGCCCCACCTTAATCTATTTGGGCTGCTATAACAAAATGCCAGGAAATGAGTTGCTTATAAACAACAGAAGCAAATTCCTCTCTGGTCTGGAGGCTGGACGTTTGAAGTCAGAGATGTTACAGTGTGGTTCCATAAGGCTGTTCACCAAGACTACAGATTCCAGTGTCTTGTAGTAGAATATGACAGAAAGCAGAGAGGATATCTTTTGATTCTCCTAAAGGCACTGTGAATAGGAATGCCCCCATAGACTCATGTATTTGAATGCTTGGCCCATGGGGAGTGGTACTATTAGGAAGTGTGGCCTTAATGGAGGAAGTGTGTCACTGTAGGGGCAGGCTTTGAGGTCTCATATGCTCAAGCTATACCCAGTGTGGCACACAGTCTCCTTCTGCTGCCTGCAAATCAAGATGTAGAACTCTCAGCTACCTCTCCAGCACCATGTCTGCCTGCACACTGCCATGTCCCATCATGATGGTAATGGACTAAACCTCTGAAACTGTAAGCCAGCCCCAGTTAAATGTTTTCCTTTATAAGAGTTGTCATGGTCATGGTGTCTCTTCACAGCAACCCAAACCCTAACTAAGACAGGCACTAATCCTGTTCAAGAGGGTTCCACCCTTATGACCTCATCTAATGAATTCCATCCCTTCGGTGGCAGGGTTTCAGTAGGAAACTTTTGTTTCTGTTTTGTTCAGTCTGAAACTTTTGCCATGCCTGAACTGTACTGCTCAGCTACTCTGCTGAGCGGAAACAAGAAGATGAAAAGCACAAGGCCCGCTTTGGCTACAGAGTGAATTCACAGCTAACCTGGTAACTTACGTGAGATTCTATCTCAAAACCAAGTAAAAAGATGGTTGGAGGAGCCAGAGAAATGACTTGGTAGCTAAGAGCACTGACAGCTCTTCCAGAGGACCTAGATTTAATTCCCAACACTCACATGGCAGCTCACAACTGTTTCTGTAACTCCAGTCTCCGAGGATCTGACAACTTTTTCTGGCCCCCTTAGGCATGTAGTGCAGTGCACAGACATATGTTCATGCAGACAAGACATACATACACACTAAGTAAATAAATAAACAGTTTTTAAAAGGAGGATTAGAGATGTAACTCAGTCGTAGAACACTTGCTTAGCATATATATACAAGGTCCTAGGTTCAATATCCATTACTGCTGAAATAAAATAAAATAATAAAGAACACACACACACATATGTGTGCACATACACACACATGAATTTTTGGAGAGACACAAATACTTATGTCCTCACAAGTCCTGCTAAGATGTACATCCTAAATCAATAGTGCTAAAGCAGGCCCTGATCATCTAACTTCTCAACAACTCCTGAGATGCTTATAAACAACAGAAGCAAATTCCTCTCTGGTCTGGAGGCTGGACGTTTGAAGTCAGAGATGTTACAGTGTGGTTCCATAAGGCTGTTCACC